TCCAGTGTTTCTTTAAAGTCATAGGGAAAAATATTGTCAAATTTGAGTCTTATTGGTTAGATAATGAATGTCATTGCTGGTTTAAAACTTAACAGAAGACAAAATTAAATGGGGGCAGAGCAAGGATAAATGGTTGCAAAATAATGTAATGATAAAAATATACCATGGGCCATGGAAGTAGCTCAGTGGTGCTGCCACCTGCCTCGCGAGCATATGGTCCTGAGTTTGATCCCTGGTACAAAAAAATATATGCATAGATAAAGATATGGATATGGATACACACACACACACACACACACACACCATAGACCAATATAAACTAAGTTGTGATTAATGTATTGATTTTGATTCTCTTAGTCATTATCTTAATTCAGGCTATATCAAGTACTAGAGAGTGGGAGCTTATAAGCAATAGTAATTTATTTCTCATCAATTTGGAAGTTGGAGGCCCATGTTCAGGGTGACAACATGGTTGAATTCTAGTGAGAGGCCACTTCCAGATTGCAGACTGCTGGTTTCTTATTGTAGCCTTACATAGTAGAAAGAGAGCAAGCTAACTCTCGTATTTCTTGAGAGGCCACTAAACATATTTATGAAAGTTTTGCCCTTATATCCTGATTTGTTCCCGTAGGCCTACCTAAAAATGCGATCCAACTGGGAATTAGATTTAAACATATTTATTTTAGAGGGGCACAAACATTCAATTCATCTGAGGCCTCAAACTTGAAGATATACTATACTCCATCACTTTTCCTTGATTCTCCATTTAAAGTTGTAATGCTCTCTATACTTAAATACAGATATTGTAAATAATAGAAGATGATTTTTCATAGAAAAGACTGAAACTGAATAATAGAATTCATATTTTTTTCTTGGCATGGCTACAACACACATGAGCTAATTCTACACAAATTTTTTTAGATTGATTATTGTGACTGGAAATCAAGCTTAAAATATACTATATATTTAAAATCTGGAAGGTTACACAAGCAATAACATTTATTCCTATATAATAATTTGTATTTAACATTTATGCACTACAATACATAGAAACAAAAATTATGTTTCTACATTTTATTATAACTCATATTTAGAAATTCAATTTTAAGATGAAATGGAAGGGAAAAATAAACTGGTACTATAACAAAATCACAGTGAAAAACTTACTCTACTAATTAATCACTTTTAGAGGTGGTTTTACATGCTTTAGAATCCTAAAAATAAAATGCTAAACTTTTATACTTTTATTCTTTTTAGAATCTCATAAAACATCTTCCTGAGCAGAAGGTACTCAATGAATTGGCACAACTCAAGAATGAATATGATGACCTCTGTGAGCCTGAGCAGTTTGGAATTGTGGTATGTATTGAACACAAAGCCCACAGACTCAGCTGGGAGGTTAATAATTGTCAGAAATAATGAAAAGAAAGACATTTCAGCTGTTGACTTTTTTGTTACTATATAACCACATAATTAAATATAATATTGGCTGTCAGAAGAAATCTTTATTTACCCGGTGTATCTGTTGTGCTATTGAAAAATAGCTAAATAAAATTTTACATTTGCCAAATAGCTCAAGATATCTCCTCGAAGCTTCTTTGTAACAGCACGGATGTTCACTTTTTGTAATATATGCAAAGTTGTATGCAGTATTATATCAGCTATTTTTTCTTCCCTTTAGATCTTGATATTACATTTTGGCCCCTCAAAAAAGAACGCTAAGATAAAAGGGTAATAACTCTATGAATGCCAAAACAAACATTGGAGACTCTTTTCTGTGAAACATGTTATGTCTAAAAGAACACAAGTATTTTCACATTTCCTATTGAGTGTTATTGATTGATTGAAAGCCTGAATTATGCTATTTCAGGTGAAATATACCTCGTGTGATCATATCTTGTGGTGAAATTATTATTGAAATGAATTATTTTTCTTTATATCTCGTTCATTTTTAATTATACAGAGATGAGTAGTTATAAATTATATATTAGAAGAGTATAGTTACATGTTTTAAGTATTCACCAAGACCATTATTCAAATAATTGGCAAAACAAATAATAGGAAACCAAGCATTGTGATGTATTTAATTTGTTACAGAAAAGAATTATTTTCCTAGGTTTTTAACATATATTTCTTTGCTCTATGAATGAATATTTCCATTATGGTTGCTAGCATTAATATGGCCCCATGAACATTTTTCATCTGTATATTAAGAATTTTTAAATCTCCATTCGACCTAATTGTCAAGCATTATCTGCTTATCCAAAATATTTTGTCATTTTCTTTAATACCTGTATTTTAGAACTGATGTCATTTACTACTTTGCAATTTAAAAATCCTGTTTAAAGTCAAACCATGATAGATGAGACTGAGCTTGTTTCTTTTGAACCTGTGCAATAACTGCTTGCCTATATTTAGAGTTTTTAAATTCTAAGTCATAGTGTTGCCTGCATTGATATAGAAGGATTGTGTCAAGTGCTTGTGAAGAAAACAATCGCGTATTTGGGTACATTTAGAACATATAAAGGTACCTGAGAAATGTATTGCTCTTTATTTTTGAGTCAAGCAAATTAGTCAACCAAATCAGCTAGATATTATTTATTAGCTAGCAGCACTTTAGCATGATGTTAAATAATAAAATTTTATAGACCAAAGTCGATACTTGAAACCTAAATTGCTTAGATTCATGTTATAATTGAAGCAAGGATATCCTCCATCTTGGACTTTAGCTGTTTCATGATGGTTATGACTTTTACATTAGATACACTATGCACTTTCTCCGAAGCTGTTTTTCTTTTTGTATCCAGTTTATCTTAAAAGATGTATTACTTTGCCAAGTAAGTCCTTCAAGAGGAATATCTTTGTACCATACTGAGGAAATGAAGTTTGGGGTCATAAAAAGCAATATACCTTCTGAACTAAAGGCAAAATAGAAAGTGGAAGATATTTCTTGTTTATGCACATAACCATATATTATTCTGGGTCAGTGTGTATATGGATTCATCTAGTCCTCTTATTTACTCTTATACTTAACTGCATCTCTGGAGTAGGGAATGTCAAGGATATAACAAAGGAGTTTATACTATGTAAATTATCTAAAACGTTTCTCAGTCAGGATTTAACAAAGTATAGATAATCTCACCTTAAGGAAAATATGTTTGAATCAATACTTTAATCTTTTAATCATTTATGCTTTGTAGTGGTTAAAAACATTACCTTGTATGTAATAGGCAGTAAATAAATGTTCATTTAATTGAATTACAGGATATTTATTAAGTGTGAGAATGTGGTTTTAAAAATAGCATATTTTTGAACTAGGGAAGATTTGCTAATACACTGCAAAATTAAATTTTTATATATTTTTATATGCAAAATTACATTTTTAACCCTTAAACACATATCAACAGTCTATCATGACTAGGCCGGGTTTAGTGGTGCACGCCTGTAATCCCAGCACTGGGGAGGCTTAGGCAGGAGGATCCCTGTGAGTTCGAGGCCTGCCTGGGCTAAATAATGAATTCCAGGTCAGTCTCAACTACATAGTGAGACCCTGTCTCAAAAAACAAAAAAAAAAACAAAACAAAAAAAACAACAACAACAATAAAAAAAACAGTCTATCATGAGAACAACTTTAAAAATATTTAGATTTATTTGCAATAATGACAGGGTTTCCAAAATGGAGAGGCTTCTTGCTTCTGTTCTGTTTTTCCATTGATGTTATTAGTGTATTCTTTTAAAAATATGTCTTTATCATAGAAATTCTATATGCAAAACCTGTGTTGTCTCTTTGAATTTACAGGATAAAACTCAAGCTCTTAAATATTCTCCTTCTGCCTCTAATTTCTTTTCCAACTGAGGTCTTCAATATCTCTTCTTACTACAAAGTTATCTCTATTTCTGGTTTTGTTTCGTTATTGATTGATTGATTGATAAGTGTCCTTATGTTGCATCTACCTCTGGAGCAGCCAGCACTTCATGTACAGTACCACCACACCTGGCTTAATGATTGTTTTTTCATATAGTGTTGAGGATAGAACCCAGTGTCTTGTATATGCTAGGGAAATGCTCTACCACTAACCTATGTCTCTACCACCTCAGAAAAAGAAATGCCCAATTATTATTACTAATTGTTGTTGCTGCATTTATTGATAGAAACAAAAATATAATGAGGAATTACCATGTCATGTGCTATGCTAAGCATTTTTGTTTTGTGCCATCTTATGCATTGTGAGGAACCTTGTGATTTTGGTTTTATTACTAGCTCCATATTAGAGATGAAGAAACTAAGGCAAAACAAGGCCAGGTAATTTGGTCAAGGTTACATATTATGTAGTAGATGCACAACTTGAACCTAGGTGGACTAAATTCAGTCATTGCTTTACTATATTTTAGTACCACTACATGCTAATTTACCTCGTGTCATGCCCTACTTAACGGCAGCAGTATTTCTTTCCAGTTTTACTTTGTTCTGTTTGTTACTCAATGACCTCTTCAATTTATTAGTCTCCACTCTACCATTCTCTTCCGAAATATAACAGAATTCTCAAGTCACTTGTTGCCAAAAAATTAATCTATAAATGATGGCTGCATCAATAAATATTCATCATTGACCCTGAGGATGCTGCTAACTACTGACCCCTTTCCTAGTGTCAGTTTTTTTCAATGATTAGACTCTGTTTGCTCTCCACTTCCTTACATCTTGTTCACTATTCAACCAACAGCAATCCAGATCCTGCCTTAAATAATGCATCAAAATTGATCTAGGAAAGGTCATTAATTACCTTCTAATCATGCTTCAACTATACATCAAATCTACTCACTTTTCTCCATTTGAACTGCCACCACCATGTCCCAAGCAACATGGCCGTTCTCTATCCATACCAATAGCTAGTTTTTTCCACTTACATTTTGGCTCTTACTCAAATTAGTTTCAGAACAACCCTCAATGTGACGTTTTTACACTATATTTTTATTGTATCATACTAATTACCTGCTTAAAACAACAATGCTATTCTATAGCTCTAAAGACTTTATTATCATGACCTATGAAGCCCTATGTAGTCTGACACCTGCCCTCCTTTCCTACTTGGTCTCTTGCTCATTATGCCTCAGCCACAATGTGCTTCATTTTTCAGACATTTGAATTCACTATGTTATTTCTTGCCTTAGCAGCATTGTGCATTCTGTGCCTTCTCTCCTTATTCTTCTATTATTAGCTTAAATTTTTGCTTTCTTAGTGAAACTATCTCATTAAAAATAGAATTCCCTATAAGAATCTCTCAGAACACTGTTGAAACTTTTCATCGTGCAAATTATCATGATTTTAATTGTTTATTTGTGAGGTTGTTTACTGAATATCTGTAACCCTAGATTTTAAGTTATTTTTCCCCATTAAGTTTATTGGTATGTTTTAGGCATACAGTACAGTTATATTCATCATTAGGATCTTGTACTTTTACATGATGTATCTTGGTTCTTATTTTTGTCCCATTCCCCTGCATGCTCTTCACACCCCTGACCCCTCCGTATTTACAAAGACTTTGTTTCCATTTTTTCTTTTTCTCATATTTCTTCATTTACCATCTTTCCTTTCCCCTACCCTTCCCACTTCCCCTTCTCCTTTGGGCCTTTTCTTCCTACATCACATGATGAGTTATACAATTTGAACCTTATTTACACTTTTAGTTTTTCACACCAGAGAAACTATTCAGTCTTTACACGTGTGTGTCCTATTTATTTCACTTAAGAGTATGGCCTCAATGTGCATCCATTCAGCTATAAGTGTCTCTAATTCCTCATTCTTTATGGCTGAGTAGTACTACATTTTAGGGATAGATGGGTCAAATGGAACCTCTAGTCCCAGCTCTTTGAGGTATCTCCATATTGATTTCCATGGTGGTTGCACCAGTCTGCACTCCCACCAACAGTGGAGAAGGGTTCCTTTCTCTCCACCAACATTTGTTACTGGTTTATTGCTTGCTAGCAGCCATTCTTCGTGGGGTGAGGTGGAATCTCAGTGATGATTTCATCTGCATCTCTCAAATAACTCGTGATGTGAACATTTTTTCCATATATTAATGTGCTGCTTTTACTTCTTTGCCTGAGAAATGTCTGTTCATTTCAGGTACCTGTTTTTTAATCAGCTCTTTATATTTGGGGAGTCTGATTATTTTGAGTTATAGATAGTAGACCTTTGAAGAACAGCTGGAAAAATTTTTCCCCACATTGTAGATTGTCTCAGCTCTGTTGCTGGTTTCTCTTGCAGTGCAGAAGCTTTTTAATAAGGTGAGATCCCAGTTTTTGATTATTTGTGCTAGTTCTCATGCTTCTGAGGATTTATTCGTAAAGTCTTTTCTTAT